TCCAGTGGAAATGTGAACAAGAAGACATACGAGGATCTGAAGAGACAAGGACTGCTCTAGTGTTCAGAGATGTTGCTCAACTTTGGGCTTGCCTAGGCTTCCCCGAGATCTTTTTCTATTTCTCCCAACCAAATGCTCTTATTAAAGACTCTTTGCTACGTAGTCATGGTCTAGCATGAGTCTTGTAGAAACAAGACATGCTGGCACATTGCAGGGTTGAGATTTGTTTTATCTTCGTTTTATATTTAAAAAAAAAAAAAAGATTCTGTGGGAAAGTAAAACCAAAAAAAAAAAAAAAATGTTTTCTGGAGTCAGGTGCCCAGTGGCTCACACCTGTAATCCTAGCTACTCAGGAGGCTGAGATCTGAGGATTATGACTCAAAGCCAGCAGGGGCAGGGAAGTCCATGAGACTCTTATTTCCAATTAACTGCCAACAAAAGCTGGAAGTGGAGCTATAGCTCAAGTGGTAGAGTGCCAGCCTTGAGTACAAAAGTTCAGGGACAGTGTCCAGGCCCAGAGTTCAAGCCCCACAATCAGCACACACACACACACACACACACACACACACACACACACACACACACACACACAAGTTTTCTTTCCATTTGCATGGCTGAGAACCTTAGAGCCATGATTGTATGTTCTCACAGACTTCCTCTGCCAGTTTGCTCAGCAGCCCTGCAACGTAATGTTCTCGGGCCACCTTAATGACAACGAGAGGCAGGTTCTACAGACCATTGGCATCTAAAGGGGGTGTCTTCCCACTTGTGCTTCCCCTTTGGGCCCAACCATGGACCATTCTGCAGTCCTCTGGCCAAGAGATGCTCTTCCCAGCCTAGAGTGGCTTTCTGGAGTGATGTTGACCAACTCCCGAGACCACGATCACCAGTGCTGGCACTTAGGAACAAAGGACATTTCTCAGCATCCCTGTGAAGATCCCCCATTTCTGGAACCTTCTTTCTCCCCAGCTCTGCCCCCATATCTATTCCTAGTGTTTTCTGCTGGTCAGTCCAGAAACATCTATATACCCAAAAGGATTATGGGTTCATGGCCCCCTCAACATAGACCCTGAGTCTTCACAGTATGTACCTACTGAGTAATTCAATGAATATTTTTGACAGTTTGCTTTGTGTTAGATAATAAGACAAACAGAAGGGATGAACAAAATAGTTGTGGAACTTACCAGGCTGGTGGGGAAGACAGATCTTACACATAGTATATACAAACAATCCCTCACAAACCATAAAGTTTTATGATTGATTTTTTTTTTTTTGGGGGGGTCTGGTCATGGGGCCTGAACTCTGGGCCTGGGCGCTGTCCCTCAGCTCTTCAGCTCAACGCTAGTGCTCTACCACTTGAGCCACAGCGCCACTTCTGGCTTTTTTTTTTTTGCTTATGTGGTGCTGAGGAATCAAACCCAGGGCTTCATGCATGCAAGGCAAGCGCTCTGTCACTGAGCCATCTTCCCAGCCCATCATGATTGATTCTTATACAGTCTTTAGTATGTGAAGGGCTTCCCATATGACCTCAAGGGAAATTGTATAATGTAGGGGTTATGAGTACAGATTTTGGTTATATGTAGACCTGGGTGCAAGCCTGGCTTGCCTACTTACTCACAAACTGGGTTCTTGGGCAAGATTCTGAGTTTCAGTTTCACCATCTTTCACGAGAATAAGTAGAACATTCATCACAGGGCTATTCTGAGAATGCAGTAAGGAAACGTGTACAAAGCAGCGGGCACAATGCCTGACATATGGCTGCTAAACAATAGCTATTTTTTCTTTTTTGTTTTAAACATGTTTTTAAAAAATCTTTTTAGTAGCTATTACTGTAATACTTTTTTTTCTATAAAGAACTTTTCTTTGTATCTTCTTCCAAAGGAAAGACTATTTTGAAATCATATAAATCTGGGTTCAAATCTTACATTGGCCACTTGCTAGATGCAAAATGGAACTAAAGAACCCAGTCTCAGAGCATTTTCCAGGAAAGTAAATAGAATGAGGCTTCCAAGGGCCACACAAGAGCCTAACACATATGACTTCAAAATGAATCTTCTTCTTTTTTATTTTTTGTGCTGGTCCTGGGGCTTGAACTCAGGGCCTGGGCACTGTCCCTGAGCTTCTTTTATACGCACAGGGCTTGTGCTCTACCACTAGAGCCATACCTCCACTTCTGGCTTTTTGAGGTTTGTTTGTTGGAGATAAGAGCTTCACAGGGGCTGGGAAGGTGGCTCAGTGGTAGAGCGCTTGCCTTGCATGCATGAGACCCTGGGTTCGATTCCTCAGTACCATATAAGCAAAAAGCCGGAAGTGGCGCTGGAAGTGGCGCTGTGGCTCAAGTGGTAGAGCGCTAGCCTTGAGCTGAAGAGCTGAGGGACAGCGCCCAGGCCCAGAGTTCAGGTTCCATGACCAAATCCAAAAAAAAAAAAAAAAAAGAGCCTCACAGACTTTCTTGCCCAGGCTGACTGTTCGCAAATCTAAGGCTCCTCAGTCCTCAGGATTACAGGCTTGAACCACCAGTGCCTGGCTGGAATCAATCTTTTGAGTTTGACATCAATCTTTATCCTTCATTGGCTTAACTAGTATCAGAAAAATCAACATCCTCTTCTACTTTAGACAAGCCACAGCTACTTTAGACAGAAAAAGACTCCAGAGAGCTCTCTCTTAAGACAATCACAGTTCAAAGCCAGCCAGGCAGGAAAGTCCATAAGACTCTTATCTCCAATAAACCACTCAGAAAACTAGAAGTGGCCTTGTGGCTCAAGTGGCAGAGCTCTCGCCTTGAGCTGAAAAGCTCAGAGACAGTGCCCAGGCCCAGAGTTGAAGCCCCACGACTGATAAAAAAAAAAAAGAAAAGAAAAGAAAAAGAGGGAGTTAACAGCTGACCACCAAGACAGGCGACCTGTTGAATAGAGAGACCTTGAGAGAGAAAAGAAAGACCATTGAAGGCACGGGGAAGAAAAATTTTAATCTATTTTCTTTTAGGATTTCTTTTTTTATGTTTTGCTTTTGATAGTGAGGAGCAACCCAGGGCTTTGTGCATGCTAAGCCAATACACTACCACATTAATTTTAGTTTTTGGATTTAAAAAATATATAATTTTATTGTTATTATCAAGATGTCATATGGGGGAGTTACCCTTTCATAAGTCAAGTAATGAGTACATTTCTTTTTGGACAGTGACACCCTTTCCTGCATTTTCTCCCAGTTTTCCCCTCCTGTCCCTGCCCATATTTGCATAGCTCATTTTCTACATTGTGAATACTAACTACCATGACTGCATTTGCTCACTCTTGTGGTTAGATATTTTTTCTGGACCTAAAAATTAAGTTATCCTAATTAACAGAGGAAACGTACACAAATTTATCTAATACATTTTTTATGTCTTAATTATATAAATATGGTAGGTCTTTTAAAGAAATGAAGAGCCAGCAAAACAGAATCAATAACTTACACAATGAACTGGACAAAGAATAAGAAGTAATGACACGTTATAAGGCAAGGGAGTGTGGATCATACTGGGAACTGGATAGAGAAGTGACTGGGAAGATAAAGGGTCAGTGTAACAAGGGTTGTTTGTGTAGATTTCCCTCAGCTGCAACTTGCTATCCTTGAAGATAATAATGTTACTTTCCTTTTGTATAGGGAAGACATTTTTCCCATGGGAATTTCATTCCTGCTTCTAAGAAACAGAACTGAGGTCAAAATGATCTTCTTGCACCTGCTGTTTTTCAAATGCCTTTAATTCAAAATAGTCATGCCAGAGCAGCATATTTGAGGGGTGACATATTCTTAACTCCTCCAAAAGCAAGCCTAAGTCCCCTGGGTTTCATCAGAGAAGGCAGCTGAGTCATCAGACTTCAGTAATAGAAGCTGATGAGGCAGCTCACAATGCTCTTATTGGATATGTGTTGATGTGGGATTTTCATGGTAGACCAAAGGCAATGACCTGCGTTATTGGGAAGTGGGTTTAGCGGCAGAGTGATGAAATAAAGATTATCCTCTAGGCCTCTTCCATCTCAAACTGCCAAATTGCTCTGGGGCCATGGTGGTGGGTCCAGGAAGTGGTAGTCAGCAATTCTGATGCATAAAAACAGAAAGGCACTGAATGTTTGTATGAAGTGCCAGATCCCCACAAGAATGCCTCTTTGTCTATATGCCATCTATGCCAAAGCAAAACATACTTATCAGCATCTCTTTAAAATGGCAAGAGAGAGCCTTAAAAAGTTGAAGTAACAAAAAAAAAGGGTAAATGGAAATTGATTGTTCATTAGCCTCATTACTAATTTAAGAAGTTTAAAATGTTTTGCTAATCTCTTTACCAAGAGAACTGATTTTATTATTTTGTTTTACTAAATATAACTATAAGGGTCAAGTACTGGTGGCTCATGCTTGTAATCTTAGCTACTTAGGAAGCTGAGATCTGGGAATCTTGGTTCAAAGCCAACCTGAAAGGAAAACTCTATGAGACTCTTAAGTCCAGTTAGCTACTAAAAAGCCTAAAGTGGAGCTGTGGCTCAAGTGGTAGTGGTAGAGTGCCAAACTTGAGCAAAAAAGCTAAGGAACAATATTCAGACCCTGAGTTCAAGTCCTAGAACTGGCACCAAACAAAACAAAACAACAACAAACCCCCTTCAAGCAACAACAAAACCAAACAAACAACTTAAAGGGTCTAGTTCTCCTAAGGACATTTTTTTCTTTACTTTTATAAAAATAAATGTCACATGTATACCTGTCAACCATACATTCCCATGGAGATTTTCAGGCCTTAATTGTCATGGAAGAGAGTGTGTGTAGAGGTATTTGAGTCCTTCACTGTGGTGGCACATTGAGAGTGAGATGCAGGCATTGGGCAGTAAGAAGCTTCAGAAATACTGGCATCACCCTCTGTTACACTCTTAGCCTTCCCATAAGCTTTAGACAGCACTGGCTGCGTTCCATTGTCTTTCAGAAAACACAAGTTATTTTTGTATATTGCATTTTTCTTCTTTACTCCATAGATGGATGGAAAAAACGATGGGTAGAATCTAAACATCAGCCAGATTATGGTAAATTTCAACTCGCTGCAGGAAAATTTTATGGAGACAAAGAAAAAGATAAAGGTAAATACTGGAATTTAGGAATATATCAGTTGACTGGGGGGTGGGATTTTTTAATCAGCTTTATCCACAATCACCAGTTAATTTTTCTTTAAACAAAAGTAGATGAAAAAGAATAAACACTCCAGAGACAAAATAATGTCCACTCTCTATATAACAGACATTTAAAACTAAGCCCTTACATATGCTATCAATCTTTCTAACAACATTATGAGGTGGTTTCTATTATTTTCCCATCCTTTTAGATGAGTCCCACAGAGGCAGAGTTATCAGCCCAAGGCTCTACTCATTGCTCATAAAAGGTGGAGCTGATATCTGATTCTGGATCTGACTCCAGGGACTGTGTTCTTTACCACTAGACTGTGATGCTTTCTCCAGTGCCCTGAGAGTTTTCAAGTAGCACTCTCATTTGAAACAGGGGAAAAACACATCTAAATGTTGCTCTTCTCTTGTGTAACTTACCATGGTAGAGGCGTAGAGCAGGCAGACCTGGGGCCAGCAGTACCCTCTACCCCTAGCTATATAATCAGAGCATGTATTTTCTTTCTCTGAGCCTCAATATTAGCTGGAAATAATAACCATCACCTGCCATGCTCATTAGACAAGGATATTATAAGGGCCAAATAAATATTGTGGATGACAAGTGAGCTGAGGACAAAGACTATGAGCATGGGTTTTTGGTCTGAGAAAGCTTTTGTCTTATAAATAGAATTCATTGATCATCCCCTAGAGCAATCTCCCATCTTCTTCCTGACTACTGTTATGCATCTCATTTTCATCTTTATTAAAGGAGAGAATTATGTGCTACTTGAACATTTTAAATCTCATTTAAAGCCATTTTGGAAAACTGTTTCTAGAAGCTAGAGAATTGGAGGCTGAGTGACCCATGGGGCACCTGTGCCTTGGTGACTCTGGTCAAAACAGTTTGCACAGCTGTAGATCTCCTCACAGCTTAGCTTGTCATTGTCCCCTTTGTATCTTCTTTACTGGGCTTCATTAGATCACTCCTGTTGTCTGGAAGAGCCCTAGGGTACCAATGAGGCTGACAGATGGGGTTGAACTGGTCCACCTACCAGGTTTGGTGTTTTGGTCTACTGTCATTGTTCCCAATTCTTTCTCCAGGAAGCATTCCTGGGCTATTCTAGCCCCCTCAAGGTCTTTGAAAAAGGAAGTGTACCCTTCAAAACTGCAGATAGCACTGAACACAATGTCAGGCATGAAAGTGATTACTAGAGATTGGTATGTAAGAAATGCTCATGACCTTGTCTAAACCAGGCCCTGTGATCATTCATGGAATTTCATATTTATTCAATGAGCCGTTCCTCTATGTCAGGCCATGTCCTAGATGTTATGGCATTGTGGGGAAAGGACCCTCAGCAAATATGAATAACAAAAGTCCCTTATATATCAAATCGACACTTTACAAAGTTTTTTTCATATCTCTTATATCGACACTTTACAAAGTTTTTTTCATATCTCTTATTCATTTGACCTTCACTGGAAACCCTATGAGGCAGGAATAATCATCCACATTTTGTTGCCTGAGTAAATGAGACACGGAAAGCTATAGTGACAGAGCTATAACCAGTAAATGAAGCAGGAACATAGGATGATATACTCACCTTAGAGCCAGGAATGGTATCTTGTCTGTCTTTATTTGTGACTATATGATCTTGACTAAGTACCTTTCCCTCTCTGGGGCATAGTTGGTCCATAAAGTACTATGAAAGTGTCTAAAATCCTTGGCAGCCCTGATATTTGTTGGAGGAGGAGGTAAAGACTTGTGGTAAAGGTGAATATCTCTAAAATTAGGCCTACTGACCCTGAATAAGTGAACTAGCCTCAAAGACTTCATGACAAAGTAGAGATATTGTCGGAGCCAACCTCATGGGGTTATAATGAGAGTTAAGTGCAATAACACACATGAACAAGCCAATTATATGCAAAGATTAAGTGCTCTGTAACTGACAGCAATGAATATTATTTGATTGAAGAGTCAGTCAGTGCATAGCAAATCTTCTTTCTGGCCACCTGATACCTCAGAAAATCAGGGCTTTGTTTTATAAACTTGCAGAACAATATCGAAATTTCTACTGAAAGCCAGAGGTAGTATGGCATAGAAAAAAACATCAGACACAGGTAACTTAAAATTCCAGCTTGAAGCTCTGTGCAATAGTGCACAGCTGTCATTCCAGCGATTTAGTAGACATAGACAGGAGGATTATAGTCAGAGCCTGGCCTGGATAAAAATGAGAGACCCTTGCTGAAAAAAATAACTAAAACAAAAAGTGCTAGAAGTTATGACTCGAGAAGTAGAATATCTGTCTATCACAAGGCCCCAGATTCAAACTCTAGTACCCCCAAAATGGATCAGGCATGAATGTGAGTTTGGGGTGCACTTGTCTGAGATCTCTGGTTCATCTCAAAGAAACAAAACAAAGTAACTGCATAATTCCAGCTTGGTTCCTTACTACAAGGTCACTTTACCTCCTCAGGACTCAGTCTTCTAACCTATGAAGTGGGGATAATGGTCACTCTTTAGAGTTGCTTGGAAACTTGAATAAGATCTAAGGTGTGTGGATAGCAGAAATTGATAAAGTCAAGAAAGTCTCTCTGGCTGAGCTTTTTGGGGGTACTTCAATCCAAAGTCTCTGTGTTCTCTGCTCCCAGGTCTCCAGACCAGTGAAGATGCCAAGTTTTATGCCCTTTCAGCCAGGTTTACACCATTCAGCAATGTGAATGAGACCTTGGTGGTTCAGTTTTCAGTAAAACACGAGCAAGGCATCGATTGTGGTGGTGGGTATGTGAAACTCTTTCCTGCCACCCTGAACCAGGAAGATATGCACTCGGAGTCCAAGTATTACATCATGTTTGGTAAGCTCTCTGACAGCAGTTGCCATCAACCCTGAGTTGTTGGAAAGGTTTAGATAGAGCTGGGATAGAAAGCCTTTAATGTGTTCACTGTAATACAATACCTTCAGCCAAGTAACTGTAAACCTAAATCTTAAAAGACCACAGAGATGGGAACACCTGTGGTATTATTAACAAGTCTACAGTATAAGGAGACACTCTCCAGTTCACAGAAAAGGAGAAGCAGTAGTACATGCTGTAGACACTCAAATGTACCCACTAGAATAACACATTGTGTTCTGCCTCAGGGCAAGAAAGACATCCAACGTCAGAGAAGTGACATTTAGGAAGCTATCTATATGTCCAGAGTGTGGCATTTGTAACCTAAATATGTAAATAATGTAAATAAGTAGGTTCCACTGTTACTAACCCTGAGTATACCACTTACTTTTTATTTGCTCAATGTCTTACTCTCTCCTTTGTAAATTATCTCTTCGTTGAAGTCTTCTCAAATAATCTTGAATTGTGTGTGTGTGTGGCAGGGCAGGGGAGGGGGTCCCAGGGCTTGAACTCAGGGCCTAGGCTCTGTACCTGAACTTTTGTGCTCAAGGCTAGTGCTCTACCACTTGAGCCATAGCTCAATTGGAGATAAGAGTCTCACGGACTTTCCTGACTGGGCTGGCTTTGAACTGCAATCCTCAGATCTCAGCCTCCTGTGTAGCAAGGTGTAAGCTACCAGTGCCTGGCTAATAATTTTTAGAGTGCCATTTCTTTCTTTCTGGGAAAGGAATGATGGTTTCACAAGCTATGTCTAGCTTGAGTTTCAGCTTTAGACCAGGCAAACTGCCTAAAATTGATGCAAAATCCTATTTTGGGATGTAATTTCTAGGCCCTGATATCTGTGGCTTTGGAAACAATGAAGTAAAAATAATCTTTCATCACCAAGAAAAATACCATGTGAACAACAGGACCATCAAGTGCAAGGTAAGTATGTGGACTATCCTTAGCCTAGTAGAGTAAGGAAAGCATTTTATTTATTTACTCCTTCCAAAAAACTCTATGAATTAGACATGATCATCTCCATTTTACATAATAGGTAAGTGCTATAAAGTATAGGAATTCACAAAGAAGCAGGTGATCCAAACCCGGGAAATCATATAAGGTCCTTAATACTTGGCATAGCCTGGCTCTCCATGGCTAAATCCTGGAGAAGACTGTGGGAAGTGGGGTGGACCAGATTTAGAAATAGAAGTTTATTCAATGATATCAGTTTGCAGAAACCTAAGTTGAATTTCATTAGCAACTCCAACAGGCACTCACTAAATGCTCATTCTCCTGGTGATAGAGTAAGCCAGGCATGACCCCTGAACAAAAAACTCACAGTGGGGTGGGTAGGGGAGGTGGCAGGGGGAGCATGGGATGGGAAGGGGAAACAAAGGAGGAGGCTACAATGCTTGATAAGAAATGTACTCATTATCTTGCCCATGTAATTGTAACCCCTCTGTACAGTATTTTCACAATAAAAAAATAAGAATAAATAAAGAAAACTCACAGTGAAGCTGGGCATGATAGTTTATACCTGTAATTTTGGCCACTCAGGGGCAGAGGTTGGAGGCTTGAGACTTCAAGGTCAGATACCTCCTTTCAAAAGCAAAGTAAAACACAAAACCCAGACCTCACAGTCAAGTGAAAATAAAAATCAGGCAAAGGAAAGTTATTGTGGATGATATTATTGAGGGACTCTGGGAGCACAGAGAAGGACCCCTACCCAACTGGGAGGCTTAGTCAATACTTTCTGGCTAAGTTTCCCCTGTGCTGAGCTTTGAAGATGCTCATGACTTGTTCTTGTGAAGGATATAATATTTTATGGAGCACTAGATTTCCTGGAAGAGGCGATTGCTTAAGAAAAGATGAGGAGATGAGAAAGAGGGGCACCGCAGGATAGACGACACAGTTCAAGCACAAAGGAACTGAATCTAGAGAAGCTGGAAAAATTGTATTTAGGTCCAGGGCTTTCCTGAGAAAGAACACACAGGAATTGTACGTGAAGATCTTATGCAAAAAGCCGCAGACATGATAGGTGAACCATATACGACCCCTGCTGTTGAGAAGCTTGCAGTTTAATGGGAGAGTCAGAAAAAGACAAGATCAGAGAATGAGCAGAGCTTCATAGTGGTAGGAGGATGGAGACTAGGGGAGACCACCAAAGTGCGTATTAGCAGAATGAGTCTTGGAATTCCAGTAAGATTAACCAGAGAAAGGGGAGGAGGATTGTGGGAAAGTGTTTGTGACTGTGAGAGATAGCACTCAGACAACACTTAATGCTGGAGATCTGAGACGTTCAATATGGACCTGCAATATTCATTGCTCCATTCTCTTTATAGATCAATAAAGACACTCATCTGTATACGCTGATCCTTCGCCCTAATGCTACATATGGGGTCAAAATTGACAATGAGCTTGTGATATCTGGGGAACTAGAGGATGACTGGGACTTCCTGCCTCCCAGGAAAATAAAAGATCCCTATGCCCGGAAACCAAGGAAATGGGATGAACGTCCACAAATAGAGGATCCTGAAGATAAGAAACCTGAGGTCAGGTCAGGGGGTGTTTGGCTGGGAAGCAGGCAGGATCTCATCTGTAATCATGTAAGAAAGAGGTTGGGAACAATGAGACAGAGACTAGGCACACTGAGCAAGTGTTCAGCTAAACATTTATATGCCAAAAACATGGAGGAGAAGGAAGCAACTCACATTTATTGAAAATATATTGATTCCTCTGGCAATGACTGTGAGCAGTGTCTTATTATCCTTCTTTTATGAATAAGGAAACGTAAGCTTAGAAAATGAAATGATTTCCCAAGCACAATTTAACCTATATATCTCTGATTATAAAGTTATTGGCATAAGAATTATATAGTATATATTCACCAGTTCATTTCCATTCTTGAAAGCTGTACTGGATAGAGCTATGACTTAGATAATCCTTGTTATCCTAGGGACTTAAAATATAATAGAGGAGGAAACAAAGAGAACAGATCACAACAGAGCCAGTTGTAATTCCAAGCTACTCAGATGCTGAGATCTAAGAATAGAGGTTCAAAGTCAGCTTAGGCAAGGAAGTCCATGAGACTCTTATCTTCAATTAATCACCAAAAAAGCTGGAAGTGGAGCTATAGCTCAAGTGGTAGAGTACCACCCTTGAGCAAAAAAGCTCAGGGACAACTCCCAAACCCTGAGTTCAAGCCTCAGCACAAGAAAGGAAGGAAGGAAGAAAGGAAAGAAGGAAGGAAGGAAGGAAGCTTCGAAGGAAAGAAGGAAGAAAGGAAGGAAGGAAATAAGGAAGGAAGGAAGGAAGGAAGAGCTTATACTGTGTGATCAATGCTGAGATCTGGCAAAACTAAAGTCAGAGAGCACAAGTGCAGCCTGGGTGAGGTATAGACGGTGGTCTATGATAGAAGAGACAATTCTTCAGTCATTGGGTTAACCAGGGGTTAGGAAAATAGACAAAAATAGATGTTGGGGTCAGACCAATATTAATTCAATGTGAACTTCACTATTTATTAACTGTGAGATTTCAGTCTACTAACAGAGCCTAATCAAAAAACATAACAGATGTTCCTGTGAAAACTTTAGATGACTTGGTTACCTATTGCTGTCCCTGTAATACTAGCTACTCAGGAGGCTGAGATTTGAGGATTGCAGTTCAAAGCCAGCCCAGGCAGGAACGTCCAAGAAACTTTTATCTCCAATAAACCACTCAGAAAACCAGAAGTGGAGCTCTGGCTAAAGTGGTAGAGTGCTTGCCTTGAGCTGAAGAGCTCAGGGACAACTCCCCTTCAAGACACATGACCAACCAAAAAAAATAAATAACTGATGTAAAATCCATTTTCAGAGATTCTTTTTTTTTTTTTTTTTTGGTCCAGTTATGGGGCCTGAACTCTGGGCCTGGGCACTGTCCCTCAGCTCTTCAGCTCAAGGCTAACACTCTACCACTTGAGCCACAACGCCACTTCCAGCTTTTTTCTTTTTTGCTTATGTGGTGCTGAGGCATCAAACCCAGGGCCTCATGCATGCAAGGCAAGCGCTCTACCACTGAGCCACCTTCCCAGCCCCACTTTCAGAGATTCTTGAAATACATATGTGTGAAATTATTTTTAAGATTAAATGAGCTAATATAAAATACACAAGGTAGTACCTGTAGTGCCTACATATAGTAAAGTCCTTAGTATATGGCATTTGTGTGTTAATAATATACTGATTTTCAAACAATAAATTCAGTAAGGCAAGGGAAGTAGAAATTGAGTGGTTGGAAAGAGGATATTCCATATCTAGCAAACAGGTAGAATGCTCAGGTGGAAATTAATACATAAAATAATGCATTGGTCTGGGAATGTGGCTGAGTGGTAGAGTGCTTGCCTAGCATGCAAGGGTTCCATTCCTCAGTACCTCATATACAGAAAAAGCCAGAAGTGGCACTGGCTCAAGTGGTTTAATGCTGACCTTGAGTAAAAGAAAACTCAGGAACAGTGCCCAAGCCCTGAGTTCCAGCCCAGGACTGACAAAAAATAAGAATAAAAATAAAATAATAAAAATATGTAAAAGCACTAGTTTAGTGTTTGGAAAAACTAAAGTTCAAAGTGAGACATGGTAGGAGATGAGGTTGGAAGGATCTGTTGGAGCCAGACCTGCCATATTGCTATTCCACAGGTTAGAATAGAATAAACTTCATACAGAGGATATGGCTTGGGGACAATATGGACTCAGAAGCTGGCTCCAGTCCTTAAATAGGGGCCTACAGTGTGGCAGGTAATGGCCTAGCCTTGTGGAGAGATTCATCAGAAAGCTCCATTCCTGGAGGAAAGAAGGTATACTCAGGAAATTAAGGTAGATGATCAGGCAAAGCACCATGGGAAAATAAGGGACTAAGTTCTTAGAAGCCAAGGCCAGCAGACAGGCTCAGGTTAACAAGACTAATCATATAGGCCCTGACTTGTAATGATGACCTTATACAACTGTTGGTTCAAGGTTTGGGGAAGGGCAGAGAGGCTGGTAGCCTCTGTGCCCCTGTGAAGCAGATCAGAGAAAGATGGAACTTTATTAGCGGGTTGGGGCTCAGTTTCCTGACTTGAGTAGTAACTACCTATCCTATCCTAGGACTTAGGATCTGCATAGATTTCCTTTCCCTGTAGCTAATTTATCTCTGGAATTGCAATAATTCTCAGCACTATTTATCAGCAATTAAGTTTCAGTGTGAACAAATCACATCCAAACAAAAGCAGAGCACAGGGAAGAGGTAAGGATGAGCTCAATAGGAAAAGGAATTATCTACAATATCTGAATTTAAAGTACTCAGGGACAGAGTGACAGTGAAGTCTCAAGTGAGAATGGTATTACTTTTTCTTTTCTTTTCTTTTTTGCCAATTCTGGGGCTTGAACTCAGGGCCTGGTTACTGTCCATGAGCCTCTCTGTGTTCATGTGTAGCACTCTACCACTTGAGCCACAAAGTCACTTCCAGCTTTTTTTTTCTTTATGTAGTACTATGGAATCAAACCCAGGGCTTTATGCATGCTGCCACTAAGCCACATTCCCAACCTGGTACTACTTTTTATCACGTACTGTTTACAAAGTCTTGAGCTAGGCTTTCATTCAGGTAAGCAGGAGGGCAGTGTGGGTAAGGAACCACTGCTTCTGACTACACTTGGGACCTTACTTTTATCCCAGACCATGTATCTGTCCTCATGAAGGAACATTTCCTTTTAGGACTGGGAAGACTTTGAATTCATCCCAGACCCAGAAGCTAAGAAGCCCGATGACTGGAATGAGGCAATGGATGGGGAATGGGAAGAGCCCCTCATACCAAACTTGAAGTATAAGGTGAGTGAAGGAGGGTCTCTCTTTCCAATAGATGTAAGAAATAAGATTTTGAGTGTGTGTGTGTGTGTGTGTGTGTGTGTGTGTGAAATGTTGAAAGGGGTGACACTGATCAAAATGCATTGTATTCATAAACTGCTTTGTTAAATGGCAACTCCTTTGTACGACTACTTAAAGATAATTTTCTTAAAAAGAAAATTGTTGATAACTGAAAAGTGAAACACAAAGTTGCCTCAAATACTATTTGTTTCATCCATAAGTAATAGAGCCAAAATGTCTAGAAAAAAATTAAAAATCATATTAAATAGTTCTAAAACGAAGATGGTAGAGATATAAACTTTAATTTATAAAACAGAAATTTTGAGCTCCTGGTGCCTTCACTCTTCAATGGGACTGTGGCTGGCCTGACCCGAGCCTCGTTCTCAGGGTTGTGCCTATTCCACAGTGGGAGTGGACAAAGGAACACAATCCAAACAGGAAATGGGTCTGAAGTCAGGTCTGAAAGTCTCAGAATTGGGCTAGAAATGGAAAGAGTACAAGGTGTTAGGGGGTAAGGGGAACTTCCTGCTTGCCTGCTTGTCCTTCTTTCTTTCCCTCCTTCCTTCCTTCCTTCATTTTCTTTCTCTTCCAACCCCTTTCCCCTTCTTTTCTTTCTCTGTCTCCCTCCCTCCCTTCCTTCTTTCATTCCTTTCTTTCTTTCCTTTCTTATTGTTTGGTTGAAACAGGTTTGATTGCTCAAGCTAGCCTTGATCTCATAATCTTCCTGCTTGTGCCTCCAAAGTGCTGGGATTAGAGGAAATTCTTTTTAAGGGCTAACTCCTGACGCCTGTCTGAAACAAAAAGAGCTAAAGAAATCAGCTGACAAATGGTTTAGCAATAAAACTGACTGAGGCAAGCATTTCATGTGCCCACAGTTTCCTGTGTCATGTACCAGAAACAGAACAGCCAAGAAGAGATGAGATATTTAGATGATAGTTTCTGAGAAGCTATATTTTCTTAACTTCATGAATGAGCTCCTGCAGAGATGGGACTAGGCTCAAAATGGGTACCTGCAATGTCATTTTGCAGCCCCTAGGTAGAAAGAAGGAACTTCCTGTACATTTAAGAAAAGTAAAATAAGCTTTAGGAACCCTGTTTTGAATTCTTACGTTTCATACGTATTGTCTTGAAAAACTGATGGACTATTTTTTTTTACACTTTTGTACAATGACTGTGCTGGAGACAGCTCCAGTCAGTCAGCTGTAATGATGGACTATTTATTGTATGAAAGCAAAAAAATAGAAAAATATTAATGATATATTCTCTCTTGGTTCTTTGTCTAGGGACAATGGAAACCCCGAATTATTGATAATCCCAATTACCAAGGGGAATGGGTCCATCCGGAAATAGACAACCCTAAATATAAGCCAGACCCTACCATTTGTCACTATTATAACATCAGTGTTCTTGGCCTGGATCTTTGGCAGGTAAAGTTCTCTGGGCTCAGATTGACTGATCAACAGTTCCTCTAAGCTTTTGTAAAATAAAAAGAGTCCCATGTTGGAAATCACAGACTTAAATAAATCTTGATCAACTCATCTTTGAAATGGGGATAATTAGGGCTGGGAAGGTGTCTATCAGTGGTAGAGTGCTTGCCTTGCATGCATGAGGCCCTGGGTTCGATTTCTCAGCAGCACATAAGCAGAAAAAGCTGGGGGTGGTGCTGTGGCTCAAGTGGTAGAGTGCTAGCCTTGTATTGAAGAGCTGAGGGACAGTGCCCAGGCCCCACAACCACCACCACCACCAACAACAACAAAGAATGCGGATAATGAGTAGAATGGTTGCACAGGCTTGTAATCTCAGCACTTGGAAAGCTGTGGCAGTAGGATCATGAGTTTGAGGTCAGCTTGGACTACATATTGACACCCTGCCTTACAACATAAATAAGCCCAGCACAGTAGCTCAAACCTGTAATCCTAACTACATAGTAGGCAGAAATCAGGAGGATCAGAATTCATGGCCAGCCTGGGCAAAAAAACTCCATCTCAACCAAAGGCTAGATGTAATGGCATGTGGCATGTCTATGGGGAAGTACAAGTAGGAGGATCGCAGTCAGATCAGCTTGGACATAAAGCAAAACCCTACCTTGAAAATAACTAATACAAATGGGACTGGAGACATGGCTCACGTGGTAGAACCTGTGTAGCAAGTGTGAGGCCCTGAGTTCAATCTCTAATACTGCAAAAATAAATATAAAAAAGCAAATAAAATAACATGAGATAATTATATTCATCCTAATAGTTATTATGAAAGCTAAAACTCTAGTCCATAATATATATCAAGCACTGTATTAAAAACTTTGCGTATGCCATTTAATTTTTTTTTGTCGGTTATGGGGCTTGAACTTAGGGAACGGGCTCTGTCCTTGAGCTTTTTCACTCAAGGTTAGCACTCTACCGCTCGAACCACAGTGCCACTTCTGGTTTTCTGGTGGTTAGTTGGAGATAAGAATGGGACTTTTCTGCCCCCACTAGCTTTGAACTGGATCCTCAGGTCTCAGACTCCTGAGTAGCTAGGTTGCAGGCATGAGCTACCTGTGCCTGGCCTGCCACTTAATTTTTGCTGTGAATATATTTCTAAATGTGGAAAGGAAGCCTAGATAACTAAAGGTACTTGGTTGTTTTGTGCCTCCCTGGGGCTCAGGGCCTTATACTCTTGCTTGGCTTTTTTTGCTCAAAATTGTAGCTCTACTTCTTGAGCTGTCCTCTACTTCTGGCTTTTTGCTGGTTAACTGAAGATAAGAGTCTATTGTATTTGTCTGCCTAGGCTGTCTCTGAACTAGGATTCGTAGATCTCAGCCTCCCGAGTAACTAGGATTGTAAGCATGAGCCATTGATGCTTGGCTGGAAATGCTTAGTATTTTATGCTTCCTCTTTTGGTCCTATGACTCCTTGTAAGTAAAGATAAATCAGATAAAGAAAATATTAAAATCCCATCCATGGTAACAAGTTCCGATCTAACCACTCCTTTTCTCTGCCAGTCATCTTTCCTTGGCCCTGATTGGAAGGGAAAGAGAAAAACTCAAATACTTAGGATTTTGGAGAGTTATTCTCTCTCTTATTTCATTTTTTCCCCCTGAAATCTGCTGTGCCTATGTATCTTCCTAGTAGATCTTGGAAACTTCAATCTGCATAGCCCTGGAAGAACTCCTGGAAAGGAAGAGAACTGTCTTCCTTAAACACTGTCCTGAGACCAGTGCTTTCTTTACTTACAGTATTTCCCTTAATTTTCATATAACTCTGTATTAGTACTGCTTCTTACTGCTTTGTTTTACATTTGAGAGAACTGAGACTTAGAAATGTCAAGTGATAGGCTGAGGGTCCATAGCTAGCCGAGATAAGATCATTCAACCTCAGGTCTGTCTGCTTCTAAAGCCTTTTCAGTAATGGCCAGATACACATGACATAGCAGAGCCTCTGGAAACCACAGCCATGTGTCCCCATCTGACTAGTGCTCTTCACTCCCCTCTCCTCCCCTCCCCTCCCTTCCTTTTCCTGTGCTCCCCTCTTCTCTTCTCTCCTGCCCTCCCCTTCTCTACTTCTACCCTCCTTTTTTTCTGCTTTGACTGTTGGGCACCAGTGGCTCAAACCTGTAACCCTAGATATTCAGGAAGCTAAGATCTGAAGACAGAGGTTCAACATGTTAGGCATGAAAGCCATGAGACTCTTATCCCCAATAAATTACCCAGAAAATCCAGAAGTGATGCTATGGCTTAAGTGGTAGAGCGCTAGCCTTGAGCACAAAGAGGCTCAGAGACAAGATGGGCCCAAGATGGGCAAAAAATAAAAAAAGAAACAAAGGTAAAATTTTCCTATGTAGTCAAGGGTAGCCTCAAATCTGCAGTCTCTCTGACTCAGTGTTGTGATTTCAGCCTGTATTATTGTGCCCAGCCTGGCCAATGATATCTACAGTTCATAACCACCTCAGGTTTCTGGCACTTTTTGAGGCATTCTTTATTCATTTTCTACTTTATTTATATCCATATTTTTGGTTTCCAAACTTAAAGAGAGCAACAGAAAAGTGGAAAGAGGTTGTGTATTTAGTTAACAGATGCCAAGTAGGAGATTAGAAAAACAGGAAAGGAGGAAGGGACACACTGAATCTTTCCTTTCTGTCTTATCTGAGGAATGTGAACACAATCTGCACAAGTCCACATTGTTATCTTTTCTCCCCTGCCAGGTTTTTTTTAGTTTTAATAAATAATGAGAACTTTATATATCTTGTAAACACCCGCGATCATATTAACATGCCTATCTGTTTGCTTCCTTAGAATTTTTTTCCAGTGGAAGGACACATTTTTAACTGTTTCTTTGTTCATCTACAAAATTAAAAATTATTTAGCACTAATTACTCTGTGCACTACCAACCTCTCTAAGCAGACAAAACTTTCTATCTGAAGAATTTAGACAGGCCAGCAGAGTGCTTACAAAACCCTAATATGCATATAAGTCACATGAAGATCTTACTGAAATGCAGATTCTGATCTGAGATAAATCCCAGTATTATCTAGTATTATCTTTTTTATATATGACGTGTTTCTGCTTGTGTTAGAGAGAGAGAGACAGACAGACAGACAGACAGACAGACAGAGACAGAGACAGAGACAAAGAGACAGAAATCGAGACAGAGACAGAGATACACAGAGAGATAGCCCTGCACAATGCTGTCATTAAACTCACCTCTACTATTTCCTTCTAATGTGGAGCTTGATCTGGCACTCCCAGGTCCCACTCTACCCTCCCACTGAGCCAACCCAGAACATCTAGTTTGCCAGATACACTGCATCTGACTGGAAAAAGCCATGATTATGCTTGGAGATGGTGGGCTTTCCTTTACTTCCCCCTCCCCAGCCTCTAGTTTCCAGCCTTCAGGTGTTCTAGTATCCTGGTTGCTCTCCCTGCCCCTCCTTTGTTGCAGTCTAGTGAGCTGATTGACCTTCCATCTTACTCATACTAAGGAGGGGAGGGAGCTCGTGGTTACCTGTTCTGATACTTCCAGACCAGAAGTATCATTACTCTTTTTTCTGTAGGTGAAAGTGATAGCATTCTTTGATCAGGGCAGAGGTTAGGAGGACATGGAAGAATACAAAGAACATTATTGTCTTTTATGGTCTTCAAAGGAATCGTAGCACAAGTTGCAATGAGTGTAATGTGACTATAGTATAAAGCACATTGAAATTCCCACACAGACATCAAGTGCTCTGTACAGTTTGCCACCTTCCCTTTCTCCTGCCTTACCTTTTCTTTTCTCTTTTCGTGGTACCTAAGGCATCAAACATGTTAGGCAAATGCTCTATTACTGAGCTATACTTCTTGCCTTTATCTCTATTTTTCTAATGAGAACACTGAAGTCTCAGAGATATAACTTGATTTTTCAAGTTGTCTAGCTAAACTCTTAACATTTTGTGATCCAAGTGGAATATTGCAGGAAATCAGATAATGTTCAATGAACTAACTTACTAAAAATTCTTTGTTTGTTTGTTTTTTGCCAGGCCTGGGCCTTGAATTTAGGCCTAGTCACTGTCCCTGAGCTTCTTTTGCTCAAGGCTAGCACTCTACCACATGAGTCACAGTGTCACTTCCAGCTTTTTTCTGTTTATGCGGTACTGAGGAATGGAACCCAGGGCTTTATGCATGCTAGGCAAGTACTCTACCACTAAGCCACATTCCCAGCCCCTTGTTAAAAATTCTTAAGACCTTGTGCTTTACAATCTAACACAGCTCTTTCTCATGTGGTCTTTCCTACTGACTATATGAAGGAAACAGTATATTTTCTTCCATTTTTGCCCTTTTTCAGATGAAAACATGTAAGCACAAAGAAAAGAGGGGTTAACAAATCAACCTACCAGTAAGTTTTAGAAAGCAGGACTATCTGAGAGTTTGATGTAAGAGGGGTAGGAACAAGATGCCCATGAAGAGAACATAGGAGATTAGGAGCATTCTTATGGAAGCAGGGAAAATGGTGGAAGTACATGCATGCCCACATGCACACACACACACAAATACAAACACACACACACACACACATCCAAAGGCCAGAAAATACCTTATAGTTGCAGAAGGAATCATACAAATCAATTGTAAATGAGTAAAAAGTGAAGTAATATAATAATAATCCCTATTTTAAGTGGCTATTATATCATTTGTTTTATTGCTAAAGGAAGGATTGGTGGGGTGATGAGAGCCACACAGCCGTATTTTATATTAACTGGGTATAATCCTAGCTATTCAAGAGGTAAAGATATAGAGGATTATGGTTTGAAGACGACGAAAAATTCACAGATGGGGCTGGGAAGGTGGCTCAGTTTGCTTTGCATGATGAGGCTCTGGGTTCAGTTCCTCAGCACCACATAAGCAGAAAAAGCCAGAAGCGGCGCTGTGGCTCAAGTGGTAGAGCACTAACCTTGAGCTGAAGAGCTGAGGGACATCACCAGGCCCACAGTTTAGGCCCCATGATTGGCAAAAAAAAATAGTTCACAGACTCTATCTCAACTAATAAAAACTGTCTAGAGTAGCACTGGCCTGTCATTCTAGCTATATGGGAAGCAGATAGATAGATAGATAGATAGATAGATAGATAGATAGATAGATAGATAGATAGATAGATAGATAGATAGATAGATAGATTGTGATCCATGCATAAATGGAAGACATTCAAAAATAACTAAAACCAGCTAGGAATGTGGCTTAGTGGTAGAGTGCTTGCCTAGCATGCATGAAGCCTTGGGTTTGATTCTTCAGTGCCACATAAACAGGAAAAGCCAAAAGTGGTGCTGTGGCTCAATTGTAAAGTGCTAGCCCTGAGAAAAAGCAGCTCAGGGACAGCACCCAGGCCCTGAGTTCAAGCCCCAGGACTGGCAAAATAAATAATAACAACAACAACAACAACAAAAACCTTAAGAGAGGAACACAAAGGTGTAATGCCTATGTGCATCTGATCATACAGAATAGTATTTATTGAAATAAATCCAGGAAATGGAAACAAGAGATTTTTCTTCATTGCTCTTTTTTTTTTCTTTGCTTTTTTGGGTCTTGTTTGCTTGTTTATCTGTCTCTGGGAGGGTAAGCACCAGAAATGGTGCTGTTGCTCAAAGTGGTAGAGTGCTAGCCTTGAGCAAAAAGAGCACAAGCCTAGGCCCTGAGTTTAAGCCTTATGACCAAAAAAAAAAAAAGTAAGGCACAGTTTTTTAAAGCCTAGGAAAGGGGCTATCATCACTCAGAAAAGAAGGGGCGAAGGATGAACAAATGCAGTAGTAGTATTCACTAGATAGTATGTTGAAAATGAACTATATAACTTGTGAGTAGGAATGGGAATGAAAAACTGGGAATGAGTGAGGAAAGGGGTGACATTGTAAAAAAGAAATGTACTAATTAACTGACATTTGTAATTGTAACCCCTCTGTACATCACTTTTATAATAACCATTTTAAAAAGGAAAAAAGAATAACTAAAACCTAAAAATATTGAGGGCATGGCTCAAGTGGTAGTAAGCTTACTTAAAAAATGAAAGATCAGTGTAAATCCTAGTGCCACTAAAGGGGGAAAAATCTGTTTTATTGAAAATAAAAATATAAAAAAACAAAAAACTTTTTCTTCTTTTGTTGATTGTGGGACTTGAACTCTGGGCATGGGCGCTATCCCTCAGCTCTTCAGCTCAAGGTGAGCACTCTACCATTGAGCCACAGCACTACTTCTGGTTTTCTGAGTGGTTTATTCAAGATAAGAGTCTCTTGGAGGGGCTGGGAAGATGGATCAGTGGTAGAGCGCTTGCCTTGCATGCATGAGGCCCTGGGTTCGATTCCCCAGCACCACATAAGAAAAAAAGCCGAAGTGGCGCTATAGCTCAAGTGGTAGAGTGCTAGCCTTGAGCTGAAGAGCTGAGAGACAGCGCCCAGGCCCAGAGTTCAGGCCCCGCTACTGGACCTCCCCCCCCCCCCCCCAAAAAAAAAAGAGTCTCATGGAGATTCCTGCCTGGGCTGGCTTTGAATTGTAATCCTCAGATCTCAGCCTCCTGAGTAGTTGATTATAGGCATGAGCCACCAATGCCCAGCCAAAAACATTTTTTGGCCATAAAAAACTAAGGTAGGGGCTGGGAAGATGGCTCAGTGGTAGAATGTTTGCCTTGTATGCATGAGGCCCTGGGTTCCATTCCTCAGCACCACATAAGCAGAAAAAGCCGGAAGTGGCACTGTGGCTCAAGTGGTAGAGCACTATCCTTGAGCTGAAGAGCTGAGGGACAGCACCCAGGCCCAGAGTTCAGGCCCCATGACCAGGAAAAACAAAACAAAACAAAACAAAAACCTAAGACAGCCGGGCACCAAGACTATAATCTGAGCTACTCATCAAGATTCAAAGCCAGCCCAGGCATGAAAGTTTAAGAGACTCTTATCTCCAATTAATCACCAGAAAACCAGAAGTGATGCTGTTGCTCAAAGTGGTAGAATGCTAGCCTTGAGCAAAAAGAGCCTAGGGACAGGGCCTAGGCCCTGAGTTTAAGCCTCATGACCAAAAAAAAAAAAGTAAGGTAGAGTTCTTTAAAGCCTAAGAAAGGAGTCCATCATCACTCAGGCTGTACACTTTCTCTTGGTCATAAACTGTTCCAATGAAATCACATCTATAATCCTAGCAACTAAGGAAGCTAAGATCTGAGGTTCATGGTTCAAAGCCATCGCAGGGAGAAAAGTCTGTAAGACTCTTATCTCCAATTAGCCACCCTAAAACTGGAAGTGGCACTTGGCTCAAGTGGTAGAGCACTCTCATTGAGCTAAATAGCTCTGGGACAGCACCCAGGCCCAGAGGTCAAGCCCCAGGAAGAACGAAACAAAAACAAAATCTACAGATTGGCCCTCCCTTAGCTTCTTTTGAAACACCTCTAGATACTGAAAACTTACAGTAATTATCATTTATTGAGGGAGTATCATCTGCCAGACACTGTACTTTACATGTTTTACTTTTTAATTTTCATGACATTACCACCAAGGAGTTACTATTCCTGATTTATTTATTAGGGAACAGGCTTAGAAGGACTGAATATTTTGTTCAAGGTCGTACAACTAGTAAGTGATTGATTGATCTGATCTGTTTGACTTTGGGTCTTAAGTAGTTTATCATAAAGTAAATATACACTGAAAATGTTACATATTGGGATTTAATTAATCTTTTCCTTAAAGATATACACAAAAAGTGTTTTTTTAATAACATAGGGAAATGTGGTAAGGATTAAAGGTTTAAAGAATCTAAGTTCTGTTTACATTTTTTAATCAAACCTTTTCTTCTTCCTGCATTCTTTTATTCTTTCAGATTAAAGAGAGGCCCGAAAAATGGCATCAATGTATAAACATCATCACAAATAGCATTTGTGGGGCTAGGGTCATAGTTCAAGTGATAGAGCACCTTTCTACTAAACCTAGGTGTCTGTTATCTACTCAAGTAAGTTTAAGTCCCAGTACTGCCAGAAAGCGGGGATGGGGGGAAAGAAGTAGGATTTGTGAGTTTGAATTGGGGTCAGAGCCACTGATCACACTGTAGAGATTAGCAGAATGACCAACATTTCTTCACAGCCTGCTAATATAGCGTTCAAAGGATTGAAAGGGTATATATAGAACCTTAGGAAACAGTAACTCACTTCTTTCTAGAGCAGATCAGCTATAGCAATATAGCATTTGGGATTCAATGTATTATTAATAATCTTTGTACTTCCTCCCCAAACTCCATTATTAATTAAAATCTTTGAGCTTGTGTCCTGACAATCTGTACTTAGCAAGGACCTCTTGGTGAGTTTGTGTTCTGGGGATAAACCCAGGGCCTTGTGGATGCCAAACATGAGCCATATACCCAGCTTCTTCAGGTGATTGTTTTTTTTTTTAGGCCTTTTAATGTTTAGGTACCTAATTCTAATTTTTTCCTTTCAATAGGTAAAATCAGGCAGCATCTTTGACAATTTCCTTCTTACAAATGATGAAGAATTTGCTGAAGAAGTTGGAAATAATACCTGGGGGTTAAGAAAGGTAAGATGGACCCCTGATGTCCTATTTCTCCATTGTATACTGTTACTTACATTTGCAAAATCAGCTTCCCAGTCATAGTCCAATTTCTGGCTACTTATCCTTGAGAGGTGGGACACAAAACTTACATTCATTGGACATCTCTTAGTTCTTGTAAATCTGTGAGTACATTGCAAAATTTATCTCACTCAGCCCTTAAGATGACCTAGCAATACAGATATTATTACTTCCATTTTTCATATGTAGGAAGTGAGATTCAGAGTTTTTATCTGTCCAAGGTCATCTACAGATTTTCTCTAGTTGGCTTGGAATTTGAACCCAGAACTCATGTTTCTTTTGTGTGTTACCCTTCCAGCTCACAGTGTGATAATCTAGCAGGGAACTACTGAACCCAGTAGTGGATGGCTTGGAGAATAAAGGAAGTGATACTCTTGTTTACAGCTCCATTTCTCGTCCCAAACTATTTTACGAGTACAGTGATACTTGAAATAATGGCCTGATGAAGGTGGCATCCTGCACCAGATATCCTGGCTCTGCAGGAAGGTCCATTCAAGCTGACATTATTAACAAACAGAAAGCTTATGTTTAGTACACTACCAAAAACCGTGGGCACCACAAGTTTGGTGGTTTGTTTTTTTTCAATTGAGAAAGCTTACTTTGTTGAAGTAATTATCATGGGGAAAGTTATTACACTATTTAAGATTAGTTTTGTCTTGTTTTACCTTGGGATTATCATCTCTTTTTTAATGTGGTGCTGAAGATAAAATTCAGGATTTTACACATGTGGGGCAAACAGTCTACCACTGAGCTATATCCTTAGCCTTCTAGTATTGTTTTATTGAGTCATTATATGCTGAATGAGAGTATGTGTTTTGAAGTTAGACTGCTTAGTTTGAAATGTAGGCCCTAGCCTTTACTAGCTGTATGACCTGACTGAGCTATGTAAATATCTTTTATCTATCAACTGAGAATGATGATAGCAATACCTTATAAATTTCTGGCATATGGCATATGTTCACTACACAATGGCTATTATTATGAACCCATACATTCACTTGACAAATATTCTACCAAAGGATGTTCAAAACAATGTGGTAGTTGCTGGGGATAGAACAGTGAAATAAAATAAGAGAAGTTTCTGTCCTTGTGGGACTTATATTAAGTTTGAGGAGAACAACAAGAAATGTATAAAGAAGCCCAAGTAAGCTGGGGATAGTGATCATACCTATAATCCCAGCACAGTGGAGGCTATGGCACGCATAGTTCAAGTTCAAGGTCAGCCTGTACCATGTAATGAGACCCTGTATATATATATATATATATATATATATATATATATATATATATATATATATAGCCGGGCACTGGTGGCTCATGCCTATAATCCTAGCTACTCAGGAGGCTGAGATCTGAGGATGGAGGTTCAAAGCCAGCCCGGGGAGGGAAGTCTTTATCTCCAATAAACCACCAGAAAACTGGAAGTGGTGTTGTGGCTCAAGTGGCAGAGTGTTTGCCTTGAACTGAAAAGCTGAGGGACAGCACCCAGGCCCAGAGTTCAAGCCCCATGACTGACAAAAAAAATAGATAGATAAGTGGCAGGCACTGTGGCTCAAGCGGTAGAAAGCTCGCCTTGAGCTAAAGAGCACAAGGACAGCACCCAAGCCCAGAGTTCAAGCCCCACAACCGACAAAAAAAAAATAGATAGATACAATAAATAAATAAGTCCAAATGTTGCATCCTTCATCTAGAAGGTAGGATGATTGGTTGGAAGGGTGGCTCAAGTGGTAGAGTGTTTGCATAGCAATACAAGACCCTGAGTTCAGAACCTAAATACCACCACCAAAAGAGGAAGGAATGAGGGAAGGAAAGAAGAAAGGAAGGAAGGAAAGAAGAAAAATGGAATGAGTACTGCTTACTTCAGGCCTTGCTGTGAGGAACACAATAATGTGTATAGATTGTTTAGCATTTGTGCTTAGCTATCCAGTAAATCTGAACCAAATTGATGTGCAAACAAATGATATATGCACACATAGACACATATTTCTCACCACTATACACTTACAAAATATTGAATATAAATAAATACCATCCCAGAAATCTTGAGGACCATAGGAAGACACCAGATATTCCTAAAGTAGGCTAACATTGTTTATCCCACCTATAAATTACTTTGAAATTCTACATATCAAACAGGACAGAGAAAAGCAGTGGAGAGAAGTGTATGAAGAAATACAAAAGAAGAAGCAGGCAGAAGAGGCTAAGAAGAAAAGGGAAAAGGAGAAGGAAAGAGAAGATGACATCTGGGGACTTGATGAAGAGGACAGTGAAGAGGATCTTGAGGAGGAACAAGAAAATGACGGACAGATGCCGGAAGATGGTGCTGCAAGAGCATTTGGGAAGAATGAACTGTAACTGGGGGGAAATGGTTATGCTTAGAAGCAAACAATGGTGCTTAGAAGGGGAAATGTTCATGAGGTTAGCAAAATTTGGGGAGCAAAATAACTGGCTCTTTCAAATCAGCTTTGTGGTATTTGGTTCTTATCCAACTGCCTCACATCCTGGATATACACTGTTCTATCTAGCCAGTTGATTCTCACTCAGCAGACTGCTGCAAGCCTTGAGGTGTAATTTGCTTTCTAAACACAACATTCTTTATCATATTCCAAAAAATAAAATAAAATCACTTTGTATTGCCACACCCTATCTTTTGCTCTGCATGATTGTCAAAAACATCCTACCAGGGCTGGGAAGGTGGCTCAGTGGTAGAGCGCTTGCCTTGCATGCCTGAGGCCCTGAGTTCGATTCCTCAGCACCACATAAGCAAAAAGAAAAAAGCCGGAAGTGGCGCTGTCGCTCAAGTGGTAGAGTGCTAGCCTTGAGCTGAAGAGCTGAGGGACAGCACCCAGGCCCAGAGTTTAGGCCCCACGACTGGACCCCAAAAAAAAACAAAACAACGTCCTACCAGCCAGATGTTGGTGGGAGCTCTCGTAGCTACTCAGAAAGTTGAGATCTGAGGACTGAGGTTTTAAGCCAGTCTAGGCAGGAAAATCCGTAAGATATTTATCTCCAATTAACCACAAAAAACCCTGGAAGTAGAGTTATGGCTCAAGACATACAGTACCATCCTTATGTGAAGAAAGCTCAAACCCTGAGTTCCAGCCTCAGTTCCAGCACACACACAGAAAAGTCTTATCATGTGGTTCCTTTTCTTTGTAATGTGGTTCCTTTTTAATGCAAAAAGAATACGTGTGTGTGTGTGTGTGTGTGTGTGTGTGTGTGTGTGTGTGTGTGTGTATTTGCCAGTACTGGGGGTTTGAACTTAGGACCTCATTCTCTCGCTTGATTCACTTTTGCTCAAGCCTGGTGCTCTACCACTCTACTTTAAGATTGTTGGTATGGGCTTGGAATGTGGCTTAGTGACAGTGTTTGCCTTGCATGCATGAAGCCCTGGATTTGATTCCTCAGTACCACATACACAGAAAAAACCAGAAGCAGCTCTGTAGCTCAAGTGGTAGGATGCTAGCCTTGAGCAAAAAAAGCTCAGGGACAATGTCCAGGCCCTAAATTCAAGCCCCAGGACTGGAGAAAACACACACACACACACACACACACACACACAAACACACAGATTTTTGGTGACTAATTCAAGATCAGAGTCTCATGGCTTTTTCTGCTTGGGTTAGTTTTGAACTAACATCCTTAGATCTCAACTTCCTGAGTAGCTAGGATTACAGGCGTAAGCTATTAATGTCTGGGTGAGAATGATAATTTATACTTTTGAGTTTGTAATAGGAATTAAATGAACTAATGTGTGTAAAATGCCTGATATAAATATATAGTCAAAATGGTAGCTATGACAACTGTAATTATCATGGTGTTCATGGCATTAATTGTTGATAAGTAAGCATCTGTATTAACTTGATTCTTACTTTTCACTTAACCCAGGTCACCTAGAGATTTGATTTTGTTTACATATTTGTATTAGTGTTTTCTGAGCAGTACTCTTTGTTGCAATTGTGCCCAATGATGTTTTCTTCTTGCACATGTATCACTTAGAAACAAAATCAGACCTACTCTGAAAAGAAGGAAATTGTTTGTGAAAGTCACTTTGCTTCTCTGCTGTCCTGTGCCCTAACTTTTAAATAATTGTTCCTGGTTTGCAAGGTAGCTGGTCTTGTATTTATCTTTTATCTTTTACATTCTTGTAGTTCTTCATAGATAAAAAAGTACTTTCTTGGGGCTGGGAAGGTGGCTCAGTGGTAAAGCACTTGCCTTGCATGCTTGAGGCCCTGGGTTCAATTCCTCAGCACCCATAAGCAAAAAAAAAAGCTGGAAGTGGCACTGTGGCTCAAGTGGTAGAGCACTAGCCTTGAGCTGAAGAGCTGAGGGGCAGCACCCAGGCTCAGAGTTCAGGCCCAGGACCGGACCCAAAATAAAAAAAAATACTTTCTCATGAATTTGTGGAGCTCTAACATGTGCTCATTCATTACCAGTCAATATCTATCATTGTAGAATTCCAATCATTATCTTAATTTTACAGAAACTGCTTAGATTGGGCAAGTCATTTGTCCCAGGTCAGTTAGAAAGAGGCAGGAATGGTATCTAAACTCAAATTATCTAATTTCAAAGAGGCTGGATGTGGTAAGTCCCACCTCTAGGAAAGCTGAGGCAAGAGGCCAGCCTAGGCTATGTAGCAAGACCCTGTCTCAAAAGAATGAAACAAAACTTAGCATTCCTCTGCACCAAGTTGTTTGAATGAATACTTATTACTATGTAATACAGAGTAAGCAACATTCACTTGTGAAAAAAATGTTGGTTTGTGTGTGAGAGAGAGAGAGAGAGGGAAACAGAGACAGAGGCACAGAAAGAGACAGAGAACAAGAGAGTCTTGGGCATGAACTCAGGGTCTAGGTGCCATCCTTGAGCAATTTCTGCTTAAGGCTAGCACTCTACCACTTGAGACATTTTTTTTTTAATGGTCAAATGGACTTTTCTGCCCAGGCTGGCTTTGAATCATAATCCTCAGACGCAGCTTCTTGAGTAGCTAGGATTAAATGCAGAAGCCACTAGTACCTGGCTGGAAGTACATTTTTTTTTTAAAATTACTTCGAACAGCCAGGGTGTCAGGGCCATTTGTGGCTGTCAAACAGTTCAGTAAAGTCTGGAAGGTGGTTTAGTGCTTGCCTTGCTTGCATGAAGCCCTGGGTTCAATTCCCCAGTACCACATAAACAGAAAAAGCCAGAAGTCACGCTGTGGCTCAAGTGGTAGAGTGCTAGCCTTGAGCAAAAGAAGCTCAGGGACAGTGACCAGGCCCTAAGTTCAAGCCCCAGGACTGGCAAAAAACAAAACAACAACAACAACAAAACCAACAACAAAGCTGGGTGCCAGTGGCTCACACCTGTAATCCTAGCTACTCAGGAGGCTGAGATCTGAGAATCGCAGTTCAAAGCCTGCCCAGGCAGGAAAGTCTGTGAGACTCTTATCTCCAATAAACCACCAGAAAACCAGAAGTGGTATTGTGGCTCAAGTGGTAGAGTGCTTGCCTTGAGCTGAAGAGCTGAGGGACAGTGCTCAGGCCTAGAGTTTGAGCCTCATGACTGACAAAAAACAAAAATCAAAAACCAAAAACAGTTCAGTAAAGCAAAGCACAGGACTACACATATGAACCTGGAATATAATAGGTTCTCAATGAATATTACTTGAAAAGAATCAACAACACTCTGAAAGCTTCATGAAGAAAGTGACATTTGAACCAGACCTCAACCAATGCATGAGTCTATTGGATGAAGAAGGGGAAGTGTGGACCTGATTTCAGAATTGAAGAGAATTCCTGGATGGCAGGAAGTGGGTTGGAAGGTCAAAGAGGAGTAACAAGAACTTCCTCTTCTCCTCCCCCGCCCCCCCATTGCGTGGTACCTAGTTTAGTTTGGGGGCCTTTAAAATCTTTGGAATATTCTAGATTGGTAAATGACTCTCTACCTACTTTCATAACGTATGAGTCTCCCCATTGTGTAAAAGAGGAAGGTTCAGATGCTGAGTGTGAGTACTCAGATGCTGAGTAATGGGGTTAGTAGGCTGATTGCTAGAGTGATCTATAGTTTAGGGATGCCAACCTGATGAGCATTGCTAACTGTAAGTATTTGCTCTGATTGATCAACTATTTATTCTACCAACTGTTACATACTTTTTGTTTCACTGAAAAAGACCTTACTAATCAGCTGGTTGGGGACTTTTTACCCTATCTTGATAGAAATCATGGGTAGACAAAAAGCTCTTCCAGTGCTGGTAATCTTGTGCCTTTGGCAAAGCCTAGGGTCTGGCAGATTCAGTGGCTTGAAGCTTCTGACTCTGAGAGGTAGGAGCCTCATTGCTCCTGGCTTTAGAAGCCAAAGATTCGTGGCTCTAGGCACTTACCGCTTATTGCTCTGAGCTTTCACCACCAATGCCTGGGCATTTGACAGCTATTACAATGTTTAGCTTTCAATAGCAGCAGCACGCAGCAGCAGGTGGCACTTTCTGGTGTCACGGTTATTATACAGGCTTCAGGTGCTGGGACCCTCAGCGGGGACCCCAAAGAATATTAGTTATTTGGCCTAGAGTTTCAGGATCTACAACTCTTGATAGCAACAAGTGTTTAAGATCTTTGGCCCTTAAGGTTAAGCAGCTCCCTGAAATTCTTCTAGGGCCAGGGCCCATAGTGTCTCATCTTTGACTCTTTACAGATCATTGCCTGTCACCTCTGGTACCTATTGCCCTCCTCCCCCAATTGTTTCTGCTCTGGGCCCTCTCTGAAACTCTTTAGCTCTGTCTTGTTACTACTACCACTGCAGCAGCAGTGATTGCTGTCACTTGCACCACTGTTATTCTGCTGCCACTTCTAGTGTTCCCACTAAGCAGGCTCTACTTATAATAAAGATCAAAGTGCACACTGGGAATTTGGTAGAGTGCTTGCCTAGCATGCATGAAGTCCTGAGTTCGATTCCTCAGTACTACAAAACCAGAAAATAGCTGGAAGTGGATCTATGGTTCAAGTGGTAGAGGGCTAGCCTTGAGCAAAAGAAGCTCAGGGACGGGGTTGGGAAGGTGGCTCAGTGGTAGAGTGCTTGCCTTGCATGCATGAGGCCCTGGGTTCGATTCCTCAGCACCACATAAGCAGAAAAAGCCAGAAGTGGTGCCGTGGCTCAAGTGGTAGAGAGCTAGCCTTGAGCTGAAGAGCTGAGGGACAGCGCCCAGGCCCAGAGTTCAAGCCCCACGACCGACAAAAAAAAAAAAAAGAAGCTCAGGGACAGTGCCCAAGCTGAGTTCAAACCCCAGGACTGGTAAAAATAAGTAAATAAATAAATAAACAAATAAAAGATCGAAGTGGGCATGAAAGGCCACTTGAGAGAAGTTTTTTATTGGGTCCAAGGTTGCAACACCAGTAGGCATCCCATGTGCCTCCTGGTGGCTCACAAAGTGAGTGGTCCAGTCTGCTTATAAAGCCCTAAAGGGGTGTGGCAAGGGTGTCTACACCTTTCATGATAGATCTCATGCAAATGAAAGACTCCTTGCACCAATCATAGCACAGTTCCCATGCAAATGAAGGACCCAGCTGGCATCAATCACTGGCCCTCTGATGGGTCACCAGAAAAGTGTTCCTTCGCTGGCCTGGGTGAAATGGCTACAGAGTCATCTAGAGAATTTAAGTCTCCAGAGCTTGTGCTGGCAAAAAGTTCAGTTCAAGTTGTTTGAAATATTCATAGCTGAGACAGTTGCCTTCAGGCACCAGGTTGTGCTTTGGCAGCAAGCAGATGTGTTTATGAAGCTTCTTTAAGACATTCATGGAGCATTCAAAGCAGCCAGTGTTGGCATGAGAGCAGTTCAGCTGTGTGCTTGGCTAGTAAGTCCTTTGCTCAAGGCAACCAGACACCAAAGAAGGATCCAATAGCTGTCAATTGAGGATTCAAGTTACCCCAGTCCCCAACATCGTTGCTTATTTAAGGGAAAAATAAACATGAAAAGAAATGCTTATAATAAAGGCTCACTAACATTAGCACTGCTTTGACAGTATTTAACAGTGCTCTAACAATGCTTAACTTCTGCCTCATTTACCCTAGGGAAAGATGGGTCCCTCTAATGTGTCTCAAATAGACTTTATAAAGAATTTGGGGTAAAGAGTAAACAATACAGATCAATTTGAATATTTCCACCTTTGTTAAAATTTGTTTTGCTTTTTGTTTTTTATTAGTTGTATAATTTCAGAAATCAGGATTTTTTTTAAAGTTTTACCTGTTGGGCATATACTTTTTTTTTTTTATTGTAAAGATACTATACAGAGGGTTACAGTTACATGAGTGAGGTAATGAGTACACTTCCTCTTGAACATTGTTACCCCCTCCATTGTTTTCCCCCTACCATCCCCTCCCTCCCTTCCTTCCCCGAGGTTCTTTTTTTTTATTGCGATTAAGTGATTACATAATTTCCGGAAATTCACAGAATTGTGGAATAATGATGCTCATTTAAAGTCACAAGTTCATTCTAACTTTCCTGGAGCAAATTGTCTATCACAGTCTGTAATATATAACAGTGTTCACATGTTATATACCATATATGTGATCAGCAGCATGGGGATATTTAGTAGTGGTTCAACCAGATGAGTGGGAGTTCTTTGTTGGGCATATACTTTGAAAAGCAGTATTTTGGTTGGTATGTGTGTATAAGTAATACTTGGGTTTGAACTCAGAGCCTTGAGCTTGCAAGTATTCTACCACTTGAGCCAGACCTACAGCCCTTTTTGCTTTGTTTATGTTTTTTTTTTTTATGAAAGAGTTTCTCCAAGTAATGTTAATATTTATTTAGTTCATTTTATTATCTTTAAATAGCTGAACAAAGTCTGTTTATTTTTTGTTGCAGGAGAAGGAAAGGAATTATTGATGGGAACCAAACACAGATGGCAATGAGAAGAGAAAACGGAAGTGGCATCTGGCTTGGTCTTCCAACACTTTGTTGCACAGACAGACAAGGTAAATCTATGGCTTGTTTCCATGCAGCGGCCTCCCAGGGCCCTAAATCCTGGGCCTCATTTGCCTGAGTCCTACAGTGACTTGTATGTAGGTTGGCATTTGCTGGATCTTGTCCTTGTACCCAGTTACCTTGTGTCTATTTGGCAAATGGTTCATGTGGAAAATTCTTCTTTCTAGAACCAGCTGACAAGGATAGATATTTCATCAGTCTGAAAGGCCACAAATTGGGTATCATATCTATGGGCCCCCTCAAAACACATGGCCCCTGTGTCAGTGCCTTCTGTCATCTTCTCCTACTATGGGCTTGACCTTCTCCAGGTATGGCTGGCTGCTTGGTTATTTTTGAGATAGGGTCTTGTGTTTTTGCCTGGCTAATCTGGACACAATCCTACTTACCATTCCCACATAGCTAGGATGATGGACCTCACACACAGGGTTTTTGCTAATTTGTTTATTTTTATTTTTGATAGTCTTGCTAATTAACTCAGGCTGTCCTGGAATTCTTTTTTTTTTTTTTTTGCCTGTCATGGGGCTTTAACTCAGGGCCTGGGCATTGTCTCTGAGCTTCTTTTGCTCAAAGCTAGTGCTCTACCATTTGAGCCATAGCACCACTTCCAGCTTTTCCTGTTCTTAATGTGGTACTGCCACTGAGCCACATTCCCAGCCCTGGCCTGGAATTTTTGATCCTTACAGTTCAACCTCCTCAGTGTTAAGATTACGTGCATAGCCCCGCCACCCCCAAGCCCTGCTAAAATTCTTTTGTGTTTTCTTCTAGGACTTATCTTTTGAACAGCAACATTCTGCCCCTGAAGTATATTCTTTCAAATGATTTTTTAAAGTTTTGATTATATATCTACATTTTCAAAAGTAGTAGATGTTCAGGAGTCAACATATGTGTTAAGAAAGTTCAAAGTTCTCATCATTCCAAAATTCAGAAACAGTTGTACCATAATTATTGTATTTCCTTCCAAACTTGTGATCATGTTTTTGTTTGTTTGTTTGGTTTTGGTTTTTTTGTTGGTCACGGGTCCTGAACTCTGGGCCTGGGTGCTGTCCCTCAGCTCTTCAGCTCAAGGCAAGCACTCTACCACTTGAGCCACAGCACCACTTCCAGCTTTTTCTGCTTAAGTCATACTGAGGAATCGAACCCAGGGTTTCATGCATGCTAGGCAAGCACTCTACCACTAAGCCACATTCCCAGCCCTACCTTACTGGGTTAATTAGCATTTCTCTGATACTTTGAGTACCTATGTATGTTCCCTTATTTTTCTTGCTTTTGTTTTTGTTTTTTGAGACAGGGTCTCAGTATGTAGACCAGGTGACCTTAAACTGCCGCAGCCCCCTGAGTGCTGAGATTAAAACAGGTGTATACTACCATGCCCAGTGTAATATTTCTTCAATGAAAGATTTATTTATTCAGCAATACATACAGTCAGAGAAAAACTATTTGTTTTTTGAGGGGATGTCTCAGTGTGGTAGCTTAAGCCTGTGATCCCAATTGCAATACAGGATTACAGTTCAAGACTAACTAGGCAAAGTTAGCCAGACAGCCTATCTGCAAAACTACAAAACAGAGAAGGATCAGAGGCACAGCTTAAGTGGTAGACTGTTTACCTAGTAAGCTTTAGGTCCTAAATTCAATGCTCAGCATTGCAAGAAACAAACCAAAAGCAAACCAAACTACTGATTTTTATTATTAGGTTCAATGAAGAATGCAGAAATATACAGAAATCTGTTGGACAAAAACCTATGAGCCAATGGTAATAAAATGGAAGAGAAAGCTCAGCAAGGCCTGTATGTTCAGATTAAGCCTTTCAGAATGGGATGGGACACCTATAGAATGAGGATCTAAATGACATATTGTCAGACAAAGTAGGTCAGGGAATTTCTTTAAGGCTAGCTCTTATGAAGAAAGATAGATGAAGGGCACTGTTTCTGGTTTCTGTGACCCACCTTAGAGAATTCTTGGAGTATCCTGATTCCTATAACTAACTTCTGGGGAGAGAAAGGTAGGAAATAGGAAGGTAGAAGGAGGTCAGGGAAAGACTTTGCTTCTGAGGCTTTTCAGGTACTCTTTAGTACAAAGTACTTGGCATAACAAAGCATTATACTTTGGAGTCTTGCTTCCTGAACTGTAAGACCTGCATTTTATTTTACTATTTTTGTTTTTCTTACTCATTTACTTATTTATCTGTACTGGGACTTGAACTTAGGGCCTTGTGCCTTTTTTTTGGGGGGGGGGGGTCCAGTCGTGGGTCCTGAACTCTGGGCCTGGGCGCTGTCCCTCAGCTCTTCAGCTCAAGACTAGCGCTCTACCACTTGAGCTACAGCGCCACTTCCGGCTTTTTTCTTATCTGGTGCTGAGGAATCGAACCCAGGGCCTCAGGCATGCAAGGCAAGCACTCTACCACTGAGCCAACTTCCCAGCCCCGGCCTTGTGCCTTTTAAACAAACACTCTATAACCTGAGCTACTCCTTATGCCTTCATTTTTATCTTTAATCTCCATTCCTGCTCTCCCTTTAGTAGCTTAAATTTTCTTCCTGGTTTAAAAATATATATGTAATTTTTTTGTGTGATACTGGGAAATGAACCCAGGGCCTCAAGCATGCTAAGCAAGAATTTTACCACTGAGCTATACTACTAGCCTTTAAAATTTTTATTTTATGATAAGAAGTTGCTAAATTGCCCAGGCTGTCCTTGAACTTACAATTCTCCTGAACAGGTGTGCACTGCCATATCTGGAACACAATATGTTTTCCTTATGGTGGCAGCCTTTAACTTCAGATTCTCCCTCATTTGTTTGAGTTCTTCGATCTCAACTATTGGAACAAACCAAAGCTTTAAGCTTGAGTTCTAGAATCAAGTATCATGTGTTTATGTTCACTGTTGCTGAGAGGAAGATATTTGAACTCTAGAGAAACATAGGATACCTTACTAAAAGAAGCAGGAACAGAGACGTCTATAAAATGATACATGTCTGCTTCTTCTTTTTTGTGTGAAATGAACATCCTTGAGCCTTTGTTTCTTTATTTGTGTAATGGCAACAATAATAT